AGTTGTTTCGGCATTGAGAGGAATTGATGATAGGTTTAGTCGTTTCTTCCTATCCTCGTGCTGATCAGTAGGTGTTGTCATCTTGGAAGCCACTTCAACTGATCGTACTGGCTTCAATTTAGGCTGTCTTAAAATCTCAAACTTACGCAATTTCCCGTCATGCCTGCGACCATACCAGAGGCCACAACATCTTGGTCTTCATATCTTTATTTAAACAACTTGATGAAATAATTTAACTCACAATAAAAAGTGGAGGGGGATGAAATATTACTCTTTCTGGGTAGTTAAGTCATGCAGTCCAACGGGAGACTCCTGAGGAGACTATGCAGAAAGGATTCACATGCCGGAATAATCCTTACTTTTCAGTCTTACTCGTCTTTGCTGTCAAGTTAATCAGTCATGTTAAAAACTCTTTCCGTATTCTCTTTGCTTCCAGAATGCAATAGTCTCGTTCCAAGTTCTACAACATGGCACTGACCGCCTTCTCGTTTAAGATGATCGTGTACATGGGTTTCAACAAAAGTTTTGACGTAGGATATGTGAATGCTCCAGGACAGAAGGAGATATAGCCCAACTGTTTAGCAAACAACTTGTCAAAGGATCGACTTGACTTGTCTCTTTGACGGTTTGTAGTGTTGTGCTAAGCCTGTTAAGGTTCACTTACGATGTCGCTGCAGCGTCAGGGAATGTAATAAGTACACGGTTCGACTCTGAAGATGATCAAGAATGCTATGGTCTCCGAAAAAGTTGTCTTCTATTAGGTCTTTATGCCAATGCCACTAAGTTTAGAAACATGGTTGAGCTACCTTTCAAATCGAACTCTATTTATCTTGAGTCATACACTCGAAGATTTAAAACATGCATGCTTGCATTTGTATAGGCAAATCTCTACACAATATGGGCAAGAAACTCCGAGGCTTAGTATGTCCCCCGTTAAGAATGCGATTCGAGCCGAACATTCATCAGTCCTGAGCAACCTCAGTTGCTATTGTCTTTACACAGATTTTAAAGGTGTTTTGATAAATTAAATTTCCATGTTACTGCTCGGTCGGCCCCATCGTCAGCATTGAGGGCAGGGAAATGTGAGTTTATCAGGCGAAATCATACCTTTTCTATATACAGAAAAAATTATTTTCAAAGGCTTTGAGGTGGCAATTAATTGCTTGAGCTCGTATTCTTTGAACTAATGGCATCCCTTTGAATTATTTAACAGACTCTAATCCTAATGCTCCGACTTACCTTGAACCCTGAAATGAAGCACACCAGACTTGATAGATGTCATGAATCAGAGTATTTATTAACCCACAATGCTACTGTACATAGATGGTGAGTCTGTTTGGTGATGTGGAAAATGAATCAACAAAGGTAGGGTTATATTACGGACAGCTTTGGTCCAACCTGGAATGAGAGTCTACATCTCTGTGCATATATAAATTGTTCAGATTTGCATAACTTTAGCACAATGCGTCTACTCTCTTCTCGCCTCAAGGCTCGACGTCTGTACGGGCTGATGTGAGCTGTGTATGCATAAATGTATGTACATGTAGAACTGTATGCATGGGAAGTGGCCTGGAGCGGGAGTGTAGGCCAAAGCACACATTTTGTTGTAAGTGTGAGGTGTGTGCTCACATTCACATGCAGAGCACTTGGCAAATGTAATCATTCCATACGGAATCAACCCCTTTCTTGCTCGTCCTACCGACAAGTGTGTGCGCGTCTGTATGCTTTTCTGTATATGCTTCCGTACTGTCGTGCCCGCAGGAGTGTCTGGATGGCGTTAATCGGCCGGCTCGTCTGCCAGGAGCATGGAGTATAGTTGTTTGTCGGCCATACAGCCCTTCATGAATTCTTCACGCGTTAGAACCCCATCTCCGTTTTCGTCCATTTTGTCGAAAATCTCGTCTGTGCGTGCTTCCGGACTCAGGTCTACCGAAGAGCCGTCAGCGCCGAGCATCGAATAAATTGCCTTAAAGAGAAGTTTTTATACACCGAGTAGGTTAAGGGAAGCAACGCAAAGTAATACATATTTGCAAAATTAAATTTAAAAGATACTAGCTTTTATAGATTACACCAGTTCTTCAAGATATTTAGGGTCATAAAAAGCCATTTTTATGCCTTAGATGCCATTATAGTACTGGTTAACTTGACGTTGTGAAACGGTTTAAGGGTAAATACAACATTTTTCTTATTAATTTTTAAAAATAGAAGACTACTGAAATCATATAAGTAGCAAAATAATTCGACCTCATTTCACAAGCACCACATGCCGTTTGGTCTAAGCCATTCTTTGCAACCTTACGGCGTCACCATTCAAATGAATTGCTCAAGCGTAAGGTGTATGCAACCTACCAAGTCTGTATGAAGCCCTGCTAGTCGCTAAATGCATCAAAGGGAGCTTCGTGTTTGTTGCCGTGGCTCCTAACCTCTATTACAGCACATGTCTAAGTTATTGAGACAGAACAGGACAGAGATACATCTTCTGAGAAGTGGATGTATCCCTGGCTGGTCATTTGTTGCTAGGCCACCCAATTTGAGGCCATATTTTACATTTAAAAATAAGTGATACTGTAGCTTGAACAGATCTCAGGGTACTTCATCCGCAAGCTTTTAGTCCCAACCTCGTATGTACACAATGCCTAGGGCTTGCCTGCCGGCAAGGTTGCTTAAATAATAGCATATTCTTCACCAAAATGACCTCCTAGGCTCCGCTACTTCAACTTATCCTGCACCGTTGTCATAGGTCTTTAACACAATTTCGGAATAGAAGGAGTATGCTACTTTTTTAATGCAAACTAAGGTTAAAAGCCTTCCTTATTCCAATTTTTAGTTACCAACTTTCTTGCTTCCGCCGAGTTGATTAGGAACTTTAAAAATACCAAAATATACCAAAACATAATAATCTCTCATTTATCGTCGCAAGCATTGTATGAAACCACAGCTACCAATCTAATTTTTGGCATTTCAGAAGAGTGGTAGATTTGACAAATTAGACAGATTGTTTGAGTTTAAATTGCGGCCTAAAATAGGCTTATCCACTTTAACCACCCCATATTTGAGTTGCGAGAGGTCTATCTGGCGCCAAAAACAACGGCCGTCATTTAATTTGTTTGTCCTTTTCTGAGAGGCATGAAGGGTTCTAGTTCCGATATTACACTGAGAGCTCATAGAGAGCCCGCAACAAATCATCATTGCAAGCAAGGCTGGATAAGGGGGCTTATTTCGAAACCGATAAAAAATTTTTTCGTCATTAACTAATCACAACTTTTTGAATCAGAGTGAACTATAGCGAGGATTAAAATGTATGACGTGACTTGGTCAAATGCCCGAAGAAGTGGAGTGAGATGACCAGAAAAGCAGAGGTCATGGGGTAGGAGAGCTCTTTGCACTTACCTTGTATCTATTGTTGAGTAAGGACTCTAAAGTTAACTCGGCTCTACTCAACGTAAAGAGACTGGAATAACTTCACAGACTTCATCTTCACCCAACCAGATTTAGCAGGGATAAATGAAGGACAACATAAAAACTTATTTTAAATGATATTGTTCAATTTTCATTAATTACATACCCGTATAATTTCCACCATCTCAGAGCGTTCAATAGTGCCGTTGCCATCGATATCATACATTTGATAGGCCCATTCCAATTTCTCTTCCGGTTTCCCACCAGATGTGATGTTGATGGCTAACAGAAACTCCTTGAAATCAATCTTGCCTGAATTGTCTTTGTCGAAGGTCCGAAACACGTGGGTACAGAACTCCTCAGCATTTCCGTCTGGAAAGAATCCCGAATATACCTCAATAAACTTCTTCTTGCTGAGCTGCCCAGATGGACAATCACGCTGTACATGAATATGCATGTGTTTATATCAAGATCACAGGATGTAAACAAGTAAGAATCACAATTATACCATGTGAAAATAATTATCTAGTCACAATATAATATAAAGAATATTTTACCGATATAAGTAGGAAACATGCATGGTGATAACTAAAATACCTGATTGCTTAATTCTTCCAAAAAGAAATAAGGACTAATATTTGAATTACCTACACTTCATTTGGTGTTTAATTTTGGTATCATTACTAGGTTTTCCAGACGACCAGTGATGAAGAACTGGTAGTGATTATTTCCATTTTTCCTCATCTTTCCATAGAATTTCACGTAGCCTTGCTTCTCACACGGTATTTTCCTTCGGACCTGAACTGTTATCACCAGCATCCCCAACGGGACTCGGACCCAAGTTGTATTAGTGCAGCGTATAATCTTGACGCGTTAAGCACTACGCCAGACTGTCACGAGTGCCCCAGGGTTACGGCACAAAATGAATTTCATGGAAGACTATGCTTTCCCCACAGCATATTTATGTAGTGGGATTTTAGATGAAGCAAAGTTATATTTGCTGTAGCAATCGACTACATAACTTATTTATCGTATCATAAGTTGATTTTCGAGATTATTATTAAATCTGATAATAGATTTTTCGTATTTTGAGTAGAGTTTCGAGACTGATAACTCATAATTGAGCTGTATTCATCATATTTTGATTAAGGTTGGACAACATTTTCGATTTCGCCTTATCCTCTCATCGAAACTGGCTGGAGTACCAAAATGAACATCATACTGC